ACTAAATGAATGAAACAACTCATCTTTTTATAGTCCACATTTTTACATTCTATATATTTATTATTGTTAATAATTAATTAATTTATTTATTTATTACTTATGATTTTTTTTTTGAGAAATACTTATTAATAATTGTTAATTGTTAATGATAAATTTAAAATTTTACAATAGATAAAATAGTCTAAAAATATTTATTAAAAATAGTTTTTTAATAGATTACAAATTATAGATCTAAAACTTTTGAAATTATATTAGTAATTACCATCCTTGAAAATCATTAACTTGTACCTAAATTAAATAACAAAATTTTAGTTCGTACTAAAAGAATAATAATAACAATTTTTAGTATACTAACTTTTTAAATTCCATATAATTGTTATGGTTGATAATTAATTTATTACTTATTATTGATAATTAATAAATTTATTTACTATTTAACATTAATTTTATATAGCATTAATTTTATATAGCATGTTTTGTAAATTTATAAATTGAAGAGAGGGTATAGTCTGAAAATGTTTTTTTAAGATCTTTTTTTTTGATATATTATAGATGTTAGAATTTTTAACTTGAGATCAAATTACTTTATTGATTTAATTTCATATTATAATTAAAATTATTAAAGAAAAATTCTTTAAATTATGTTATTAAAAAATGAAATGACCAAAAATTTTGTATCACATCTTTTAAGATTCCATACAAATTATTGTTGATAATTAATTTAGTATTTAATTAATAAAACACTTTTAGATGTATTACCTTATATGGTTTTTTCTTTCAACAACAAAAATATGAGCTCGTAATTATCTACATTTTAAACAAATATTATAAATAAAATTGCTCATAATAAACATATTCTAAATAAAAAAAATACACTAATTATARAAGAACATTAAAAAAATAATAGTAACAAAAAAAATCCTAACTATACACTCATATTTTRTAATACATATGCTCACCGTTGATAATTGCTTGTCAATACCATTTTCAACTTCATAAAATTGTGGAATGGTAACGTCGCAGGCCTAGTATTCGAGATATATAGATAGATTCGACAAGTGTATCCCTTGCAGTTTGATGAATATGCATCATTTRCAACTTGATGAATATGCATCCCTTCCAATTTGGTGTATTTGCCACAACTTGATGAATATGCATCCCTTCCAATTTGGTGTATATGCCACAACATATCAAGATGTTTTCAAGATAGAATAATTTTTGGAATCTTTGAGAGATGTTTTGAAGGAACTAAAAGTAAAGTAGAAACTGAATGATCCCTTGGYTCGGGGACAAATTTCCTCTTAACTGCGCAAGAATATGAACAAAACACATATAGTGAAACTTCTATGTTGTGAAAARTATGGTGGAAGAAAGTCTATTTTTATAGTAGTAGAGGATAACGAGTTACCAAGACTTTTGAAATTCTAAATCTCTTGATATTYTAGTATGAATTATAATTAAAAAAAATTAATTTTATGTTGTCGGAAAACTTTTTGCATTTTAACTTTTAAATCCTATGCATTTATTTGTATTGTTAATTAATAATTAATTTAAATTTATATATAATAATATACTGACATAATAATAATAATATATTATTATTATTATTATTATTATTAATATAATAGTAATGACATGGTCAGTAAATTAGTAAATTTTGTAAATTTAGTAAGAGAGGAGGGTGTCCAAAAATATTTTTCCTACCTCCTCTATTTTTAATATAGTATAGATATAGATATGGAATCTTTTCGTGAATTCTTTTGATAATTTTGGTAATTAATATAACAAATAATGAGAATAATTGCATTGATCACTTTCTATATTTGTTGAATAATTTATTAAAATATAAACATTTAATAATAAATGTAAATACTAGCATTAAATGAACRTTAATTCCTTAGGAAATAATAAAATTTAAAAATATATAATAAATGTAATAAGATGGTATTAGTGATGGTAATTTGGAGGAAAAAAAATCTTAATTCTTGAAATCTACATTTTTAAATATCTATAASAGAGAGCATCTGTAAAATATCATTTCTAATATGACTTACTAGACATGATTTCTGTAAAAGGGTTAAAATACACGAGTAATCCATATAGAGATACTAGTTACATAAATATACTAGTTACATCAATGAGTTAACTATTGAAATTTTACAATTTTATCTAAAAAAAGTCAGGTTTAGGATGAAGCCCATGTTGCCCATTAAAGTGTATATTTAATAAATAAATAAATAAAAACAAAAAATGAAAAACTCATGATTTTGGATGCTTTCAATTTGAAATGACAATATATTTAGGGTCGGTTTGATAACTATTTCATTTYCTGAAAAAATAGTTTTTAAAGACAGATTTCTGTTTTTTTTTTTCTTTTAATCCTCAAATTTCTTTTTCTTTGACATATTTCTCTCTAATAAATTTCATTCCCACTCTAAAAATTGTTTTCTTCCTAAATATCTCTCTATTTATTTTTCAATCTTTAAAATTTTAATATTTTAAATATTTATTATTATTTCTATTGGTCTCCAAATTTTGTATCTCTTTTTTTTATCTTTTTATTTTTGTTATTTTAAATATTTATTATTATTTTTATTTGTCTCCAAATTTTGTATCTATATGTATATGTATTTTTTTTTTCTTTTTTTTCCTAATAGATCACTCTCATCTATCTCTCTAAAAATTTAATATTTTCTCCAATTTTTCTCTCTAAAAATTTGTCTTTTACGCCCTTTTTTTATTCATAATATATTTTTCCTTTAAAATTATATGTTATTTTCTCGTTCAATTTTCTTTTACTGTAACTTTTATTTGTCTTTATATTTATTTATTTTCTCTAACATATATACTTYGAATCTTGTTTTCATCTTTAAATTTTTTCTTACTATAATTTTTCTTTTTCTTTCTAATTTCTTTTTTTTCTGTAACGTATCTTTTCCTCTCAACTTTACTCTTCCTCCTTAAAAGTTTTTTCTTTTTATTTATTTATGTTCTCTAACAAATATATTTCCACCAGATAGTTTAGCTCAGCCTATAGGAAGGTCCAAGCTGTTGCTCCTAACCTCGAATTTTGATCACAAATTTTAGATAGCAAGAGATGTGGAGTTTCTGCATTCTTGAATTGTCAACTTTCATGGATAAATAGGAGTTTTCTAGTTGGGTTCTCTGATGAAGTGTTTATTTCTATAAAAGAAAATTGTTATATTAAAGTTAAAAGGACTGGACCAAATATATGCCGGGATATTAACAGTCCGGTATAATTTTTTCTTCCATAGAAAATATCCAAACACAATTACAATATGCCAATAAGGAAGAAAACTGTAAAAAACAAGAAAACGACACACAAATTATACTGGTTCACCACTAAGACTATGTCCAGTTTTTCACTCACACGTGGGTAATTCACTAATAATATTAAGATTGGAATACAAAGCTCTCCCCAAAAATATCCGTCTCAGCAAAAACCCCTTAGRTTTTAAGTATTTTAACACAATTAATACTTAGGAACATGAATGAAAAACTCACAAGAATCAAGATGTAATTACCCCGAATATGTTGATCTTGATCAGCCCCAATGCCTTTGCCAATACTTGAGCTACTGCCATAGATTTGTTGCTAAAACCCGCTCAAAATCGACTGCAAAATAACCCTTTTTCGGTTGGAAAACCATAAAACCCGAACTGCAGCCTTTGTAGACTCGAAACAGCACTATGGCACTATCCAGGTCGCCATGSCGCTATGGATGGAGTGCAAACACGCGAGCCCCCATCTCGACAGCGGCACAGCGCTGCCTTCTCGATCCGTGTGGCCTGCAGCACTCATTTTCCCGATTTTCATCCCGCTTCGATCCCGATACGTCCCGACCCATCTCTAGCTCATTCCAACATCATTTTGGCTCCACGAATCCCAACAAGACAGGATCTATTAGACTATTAACCCAGACTCAATGTCTGAAAATTTAAATTTGGGTTAAAAATTGATTGATCGGGAAGAAAAATGAACCCCTTCTT